AGAGAGCGAGATTTTTTTTTAAATAATTTTTTTTTATTGAAAAAACCTAAACCTAAAAACGTCGATTTTTTAACATTTTTTTTTAAACATTTTTTTTTAAACTTTTTTTTTTAAAACTTTTTTTTTAACTTTTTTTTTTCTATTTTTTTTAAAAACTTTTTTTAAACTAAGGGACAGGGTGATGAAAAAGAGGAGTGTTTTTTATTTTAATTTTTTTTATTAAAACCCGTAAGTATAAAAACTACATTAAAATCTTAAATCTAGAATACATTTAAAAAATTTTTTTTTTTTTTATAATTAATAAAACTTTCTCCTAAAAATGCATAATATAAAACTAAATCTAAAATACATTTAAAACCTTAACTCTAGTATTTTTTTCTTACAATTTTTTTTAACTTTTTTTTTTTTTTTTAACTATAATTTTTTTTGAGGACCCAGGCCCATTCCTCCAGGTCCCAGTTTTCGGGCTCGTCGGGGCGGAGAGGGGCGTCGCCGAAGAGGATCCTCAGATCCCAGAGGTCCTCGAGGTCGTAGACGTCTCCCACTCCTCTTCCTGGGCCGCAAACTCCCGGGCCTGGGCCCTCAGGGCGCGAATCCAGCGGGCTCTGGGGGTGTCGGGGCCAATTCCTCCCTCCCGCCAGTCTCCTCTCTGAAACAAAAAAGAAAAAACCACGAATTAATATTAATTTTAAAAGGAAAAGAATAGAGAGAGAGAGAGAGAGAAAGGCGAAAAAAAAACTTACCAGGAAAGCCTGGTGCTCCTCCTGCTCCAGCCAGCCTTCCGCCCGGGCATGGAGTTCCTGGATGCCGAAAATATGTTCGGCATCCCAGGATTCAGTCTCTGAGTCCTCCCAGCGGAACCAGTGATTGGCAGCTCTCAGGCATGCCCTCTGCCTCCTCACGGCAACCATCTGAAAAGAAAAAAGGAAAAAACCATTAATACAAAAAAAAAAAACGAAAAAAAAAACAACAAAAACGCATAAGAATCGGCCTTGAAAAAACGCGAACCAAAACAAAATACGTCAGAATAAAAATACCGCTTTATAAAAAAAAAAAAACGCGAAACAAAAAAAAACACGTCAGAAAAAAACTACCGCTTTATAAAAAACACAAAAAAAAACGCGACAAAAAAAAAATACACGCCAGAAAAAAACTACCGGTTTATAAAAAACACAAAAAAACGCGGACAAAAAAAGACGACAAAAAAACACGTCAGAAAAAAAAATACGCGGCCAAAAGAAAAAAACTAAAAAAAAACGCGACAAAAAAAACGAAAAAAAAAATGCGAACTACTATTTAAAAAAACACGAGAAAAGACCACTATTTAAAAAAGAAAAAAACGGTTTAAAAATTTATAAAAAAAGAAAAAACGAGACAAAAAAAAAACGAAAAAAAACGCAAGCTACTATAAAAAAACACCTGAAAAGACCACTATTTAAAAAAGAAAAAGACGGTTTAAAAATTTATAAAAAAAGAAAAAACGCGACGAAAAACAAACCCCGAAAAACCACTATAAAAAAAAAAAAACGTGAAGCACTACACAAAAAAACGCGAAAAAACACTACAACAAACACTAAAAACATCCACTTACCAACAAGATAAAAACCACGGCGATCACGGCCATTTTGAAATTTTTTTTTTTTTTAAACACGAGGCACTGGACACTAGAACACTGAAGTAAATTTGGAAGTGAGGGTTGGGGAATTTTCGCAGTTTATATAGTCGCAAGCTGTCCCCACTCGCCCGCACCTAGATGGCTAGAAAGAAAAGGATGCTCAAGAAAAAAACAGGATAATGATAAGGACAGGGAAAAAGTGCCTTCTACATTGTAAAAAAGAAAAAGACGTTCAAGGAAGAAAATGGAAGAAAGATAAGGAAAGAGCAAAATATCCTCTAGACAGTGAGGAGGAAAGAGATGTTCAGAGTAGAAAGCAGGTGAAAGAGGAAGACACGGATAGGAAAAGTTTTCCAAACTCAAGGGAAAGGTGTGGTGTAGGAAAGGGAAATTCAGGTACATTTAACGAAGAGTAAACTGTTTTTTTTTTATTTGAAAATGTATAAATTGTTTATTTAACGA